CAGTGGTTCAATTGTATTTAGTAATTTCCGTCATATGAAATTTTTTTGGGATAGGCTTCGGAGCCGCGCTTGGGGGGAAAGGCTTCTGCACAAACTTCTTCGAATCCAAACCTTTTAAAATCGGTGCTGCCCCGATATTTGGTCAACCCGGGAGTTGTATATTTTTACCTTTTTATCATTTGCCTCGATTTTCTTTTCTCCTGATTCAATCCATTTAGTGAGCTCCTCGAGCATTTTCATAATAGCAGGGTTAGCCCCTGAATCATTGGCGTTCGATCTCTCTGGTATAGGTTCAAACCTACGAACATTTTCTGGTTCAGGCTCTGGTTCTATCCTACTTGGTTTTCGATGTTGATTCTATAGTTGCGCTATAGCGGCTTGCTGAACCTGTAACATTTCAAATATCAATTGGAGGCTAACTCCGCCTTTTTTACTGCTCTATGCATTCTGATCAGCTGCTCGGGCATCTCTTCGGATGCTAATTCTTGGGTCGACGCCCAAATTTGCATTTAGGGCGACATGCGAACTGACATCAACAAGGTCTGTGATTGGTACTCCCTCATGGCATGCCTAATGCACTTCGATCCCTGGTACATCATTGTTTTCTCCATGGAAATTGGGGTCGTTATCGGCGTGAGTGGGTACTGCTTGCGAGTTAGACATGCTGATCCTGAAATCAAAAACACTCACAAGAACAAGCGTAAAATGGTATGTGTTACGAGAGGCAATCACTATTATCCTTAGCCTTACGATGGCGCCAAACTATTTACCCTAAAAACTAGATAACAATTAAAATTATAATGTGGTTTTAAGGACACGTGATATCACCTAATACCAATTGATAAATGTAAAGATTAGTGATAGAATTTCGTTGTCCTTATCTCTCACCTTGAAGAGGTCCGATTTCCTAGTCGCAACCTTATTGCTCCAGCGTGTGCCTTCATGAAGGAATCTGCAAGCATGGCGAAAGAGTTGATGGAATTGGGAGGCAAATTGTTGTACCATATCATTGCCCCCTTCGATAAAGTTTCACCAAACTTTTTCAATAGAACAGATTCAATCTCGTCATCTTCTAAGTCATTCCCCTTTATTGCGCACGTATAAGAAGTGACACGCTCATTAGGGTCGGTGGTTCCATTGTATTTTATAATTTCTGGCATGCGGAATTTTTTCGGGATAGGCTTCGAAGCCACACTTGGGGGGAAAGGCTTCTGCACAAACTTCTCGAATCCAAACCTTTTAGAATCAGTGGTGCCTATATTTTTACCTTTTTATCATTTGCCTCAATTTTCTTTTCTCCTAATTCAATCCATTTAGTGAGCTCCTCGAGAATTTTTATAATAGCAGGGTTAGCCCCTGAATCATTGGCGTTCGATCTCACCGGTATAGGTTCTACCCTACAAACAGTTTCTGGTTCAGGCTCTGGTTCGATCATGTTTGGTGTTCGATGTTGATTTTGTAGTTGCACTATAGCGGCTTGCTGAGTCTGTAACATTCCAAATATCAATTGGAGGCTAACTCCGCCTTCTTTACTGCTCTATGCATTCTGTCAGCTGCTTGGGCATCTCTGCGGACGCTAATTCTAGGGTCGACGCCCAAATTTGCATTTAGGGCGACATGCGAACTAACATCAACGGGGTCTGTGATTGGTACTCCCTCGTGGCCAGCCTGATGCACTTCGATCCCTGGTACATCATCGTTTTCTCCATGGAAATCTAGGTCGTTATCGGCGTGAGTGGGTACTGCTTACGAGTTAGACATGCTGATCCTGAAATCAAAAACACTCACAAGAACAAACGTAAAGTGGTATGTGTTACGAGAGGCAATCACTATTATACTTAGCTCCACGGTGGGCGCCAAACTATTTACCCTAAAAACTGGATAACAATTAAACTTATAATGTGATTTTAAGGACACGTAATTTCACCTAATACCAATTGATAATTGTAAAGATTAGTGATAGAATTTCATTTTTCTTTTGTCTCACCTTGAAGAGGTCCGATTTCCTAGTAGCAACCTTATTGCTCCGGCGTGTGCCTTCACGAAGGAATCTGCAAGCATGGCGAAGGAGTCGATGGAATTGGGCGGAAAATTGTGGTACCATATCATTGCCTCTTTCGATAAAGTTTCACCAAACTTTTTCAATAGAACGGATTCAATCTCGTCATTTTCTAAGTCATTCCCCTTTATTGCGCACGTATAAGAAGTGACACATTCATTAGGGTTAGTGGTTCCATTGTATTTAGTAATTTCTGGCATGCGGAATTTTTTCGGGATAGGCTTCGGAGCCGCACTTGGGGGGAAAGGCTTCTGCACAAACTTCTTCGAATCCAAACCTTTTAGATTCGGTGGTGCCCCCGGTATTTGGTCAACCCGGGAGTTGTATATTTTTACCTTTTTATCATTTGCCTCGATTTTCTTTTCTCCTGATTCAATCCGTTTAGTGAGCTCCTCGAGAATTTTCATAATAGCAGAGTTAGCCCCTGAATCATTGGCGTTCGATCTCTCCGGTATAGGTTCGACCCTACGAACATTTTCTGGTTCAGGTTCTGGTTCTATCCTACTTGGTTTTCGATGCTGATTCTGTAGCTGCGCTATAGCGGCTTGCTGAGCCTGTAACATTTCAAATATCAATTGGAGGCTAACTCCGCCTTATTTACCGCTCTATGCATTCTGATCAGCTGCTCGGGCATCTCTGCGGACATTCCAGGGTCGACGCCCAAATTTGCATTTAGGGCGATATGTGAACTGACATCAACGGGGTCTGTGATTGGTACTCCCCCGTGGCCAGCCTGATGCACTTCAATCCCTGGTACATCATCGTTTTCTCCATGGAAATCGAGGTCGTTATCGGCATGAGTGGGTACTGCTTGCGAGTTAGACATGTTGATCCTGAAATCAAACACTCACAAGAACAAACGGAAAATGGTGTGTGTTACGAGAGGCAATCACTATTATCTTTAGGCCAACGGTGAGCGCCAAATTGTTTACCCTAAAAATTGGATAACAACTAAACTTATAATGTAGTTTTAAGAATACGTGATTTCACCTAATACCAATTGATAAATGTAAAGATTAGTGATAGAATTTTGTTATCCTTTTGTATAACCTTGAAGAGGTCCGATTTCCTAGTCGCAACCTTATTGCTCCGGCGTGTGCCTTCACGAAGGAATCTGCAAGCATGGCGAAGGAGTCGATGGAATTGGGCAGCAAATTATGGTACCATATCATTGCCCCTTTCGATAAAGTTTCACCAAACTTTTTCAATAGAACGGATTCAATCTCATCATCTTCTAAGTCATCCCCCTTTATTGCGCACGTATAAGAAGTGACACGTTCATTAGAGTCGGTGGTTCCATTGTATTTTGTAATGTCTGGTATGCGAAATTTTTTCAGGATAGGCTTCGAAGCCACACTTGGGGGGAAAGGCTTCTGCACAAACTTCTTCGAATCCAAACCTTTTAGAATCGGTTGTGCCTATATTTTTACCATTTTATCATTTGCCTTGATTTTCTTTTCTCCTGATTCAATCCGTTTAGTGAGCTCCTCGAGCATTTTCATAATAGCAGGGTTAGCCCCTGAATTATTGGCATTCAATCTCTCCGTTATAGATTCGACCCTACGAACAATTTTTGGTTCGATCCTGCTTGGTGTTCGATGTTGATTCTGTAGTTGCGTTATAGTGGTTTGCTGAGCCTGTAACATTTCAAATATCAATTGGAGGCTAACTCCGCCTTCTTTACCGCTCTATGTGTTCTGATTAGTTGCTTGGGCATCTCTTCGGACGCTAATTCTAGGGTCGACGCCCAAATTTGTATTTAGGGCGACATGCGAACTGACATCAACAAGGTCTGTGATTGGTACTCCCTCATGGCATGCCTAATGCACTCCGATCCCTGGTAATCATTGTTTTCTCCATGGAAATTGAGGTCGTTATCGGCGTGAGTGGGTACTGCTTGCGAGTTAGACATGCTGATCCTGAAATCAAAAACACTCAGAAGAACAAGCGTAAAGTGGTATGTGTTACGAGAGGCAATCACTATTATCCTTAGCTTCACGGTGGGCGCTAAACTGTTTACCCTAAAAACTGGATAACAGTTAAACTTATAATGTGATTTTAAGGACACGTGATATCACCTAATACCAATTGATAAATGTAAAGATTAGTGATAGAAATTGATAATAAGATAAATCAAACCAGTGTTTGAATGGAATTCACCCTTTGAGCTTGGATACCCTCGAACTGACTTGTGCAAGAACAGATAAAATATAACAAGCTGATGAACAAGTATATGAACTAAAGAAAAGGCGTTATATTGCTTTGATATCTTAGAGTGTAAGGTGTTTACAAAATGATTAGAACCCTCTTTATATAGTAGAGGAATCCTATTTATGATATAATTCTAATTACGGAAGCAAACCCCATGATTCGCCTAATAATCGCCCTTGATTTGATCAATTCCGGGATTTCCACCGTGATCTTCGACCGGTCACGGATATTTCGCTTTTCCGTTATTATGCTTTGCTCGAAGTCTGCCATATTTGCCTATTTGGTCTCGATCAAATAGTAAAATCGGGTTTTACCGTATACACCATCTTTAATCGACTTAAACTCGACGCGATCGGATGCTCTGCCGGCACTAATTTCACAAATCAGACCAAGAATTCGTACAATTGGCTTGACATCCAATTAAAGAAATATAGAAAAAAAATGGATCAAAGTTACGTTATACAATACTGACTGTCTAAATATGTTTTTACATTATTAATATAGTTTAACCTAAAATAGTTGGTTACTTACTAATTTCATCAGGCACTATTAATGACTAATCTATATTTACCTTATAAGTAACTTCATTGTGCAAATATATTTGATACCACACTTAAACACAGACAAAGATAAAAGAAAATTGGTGAATTATGTACTCCATTTATACATACATAATAGGAAAGAAAATAGAAATAAAAATAAATATTGAAAATGAGACAAACACTGTAATTCATTTGTGGGCGACAACAACGTTATCTGCTGAAGTTGACAACGACGTTTCTCCTTGTGTTTGCACTTGTTTTTCCTTTCTGAGCCTAAAGACATAAACAAACGCGGAAACTGCAAGCAAAACAATACCGGTTGCTCCACACACCAAGCTGGAAATCAATAATGCTTCCCTCACGTGATCTTTACTGTTGTGGTGAACCGGCATCCCTCCTCCGTCGCCGCCAATCCACGTCAAGTTCTTCGCAATCGGCAGCGCCACCGGCGGCTGAGCATTCCGCCGGCCACCGCCGTCGAAGAACGAGAGCATGTCCGGAACGTCGTCGTTTGTAGTTGGTGTGGATGATAAGTCTTGATTCGTCAACCCGTGCTCCGCTGGACGGAGCTCTCTGCCGTTGGATTGCAAAGACATTATGGACAATAATATCATAAATGTGAAGATAACAACGTTTTGGAAATATTGCCTCATTGTAATTACGTTTATGCTGTAGTAATTTTCCAGGTGTGGTGTTCTTTAAGGTTTGTGTCTCTCTTTTGATTGTAGAATGAAAAAGTGTGGTAGTACTAATATATGAATTTTTTTTGTTGTACTCTACTATAAATGAAGTGGGAGGACATGTGGTTGTTAGCCAGTTTGTCAAACTCCATAATCCATACAAAGGACGCGTGATTTCTTGTCGGCTCAGACTGAGAAGAGATTTCGGGAAAAGGGTATATTTCGTTTGGTTTGTTAACTGGATTAACGAATTCTTCGGTTTAACAAGTTTTATTTTATCAAATTACTTTAAAAATTGATTTACCAAAAAAATTAAAATATATGTACTCCCCGATTTCTTGGCACTATTCAACTATGTACAAAAAAATAGAAAGAAAGATAAAGAAGTTTAAAATTTTGTGATGCTATGAAAGTTTTGTGACTATCGTCATTAAGAATAAAATAGAAATTTAAAGTTAAATTGCTTTTAAATGCATGGATTTTCATACTGTCTCAACCTATATATATATATATACAAAATTATGGACTTCTCTAACATATTTTATACCTTAATTATGTATAACTTTAATTTCACAAGTTTTGAATATTTAAGTTCATTTAACTCATCAAATTAAACCCTGTTATAAACTAACTGTTATTTTAATAGTTTCTTAAGTTATAATTATATAACACCCAAATCGTGCAACAAAATTAAACTTCATATCTAGCGAACAGTGTCATATAACATGGCACACTAAGAGTATTCAGATTTTAAAACATCTTATTCACAAATTTAGATTTTTGTGTCTTCTCTAAATTTCTAATCAGTATCATCCACTTAATTATCATTTGCATCCCCTTAAGTCTATATAAGACGTACTAATCAAAGTCTCAAATATTTTGGATGAGGATTAATTAAGTTAAGCATGCTGCTCCTTGTGAAACGGAAATTAAAAAGAGAGAGAGAGAGACTGCTATATCTAACACAAAAATCAAATGCCGTAACACCTATCAATAATGATTAATGGGTCAGGTATTTGGTATGCTTTTATGATTGTGCTGCATTTAGTCAAATGGCTTTTGGAAAAAGATGTCTTCGATATTAAATTTAGTGCATAGGTTTGGGAACCTTTTGAAACATGGTCCATAATAGCCTCAATCACGCAAACATGGGTTTTACTCTAAAGTTAGTTTTATTAGAAAGTATCATATCAAATTTTAAAGTTTAAATATTTTAGTTGAGATATAAATTTTTTGAGGATAGAACAACTTAGAGATGTCTCACGATGAAAAAAGAAAAGTCTGATATGAGTTGAAATTAGAAATATTGGTTATACTTCTACTCCGTCCAGTTTAGTTGTCATATTTCTCATTTCGAAAATCAATTTGACTAATCTTCAAAACTAAATTGAATTAGATCAATTTAATATTTTTAATTACAATTTAAATATTAGAAACTATAAAGATAGTATTACAAGTTATAATCCTTCTCATATTAATGCGATAAATAATATTTTAAATATTAGTCAAAATTCACATAATTTGAATGTCATGTAAAAAGTGACAGATAATTTGATACGTTCTTAGTGTTAGGATTGAAATAGTCAGGTCTCATGTGGAAGCTAACAAAGCAAACATTGAACGACGATAAATCAGACAACACAAGAAATATTTACCAAAAGAGACACAAACATTTAATGTAGTTCGGCCAATTGACTCACGTCCATGGACAGAGATGAGCAATCCACTATAATAAAAGAGAGTACAAGATATCGAGAGAACAACTTCACGAAGAGGCAAACACAAGTGACACACTAATACTTGTACCGTAAAGCTCTCCCCCTAAACACGACTCTCAAACTCCATATGACTACATTGTGGATACTACTGAATGAGAAGGAATGATCCCCAATTTACAGAAGTCCAAACCTTTCCTCCAAGAAAAGGGACTAGCCAAATATGAAAAATCAATTACGGTAAATATGTTGTTCTTCCTTCAAAAGATGAAAAATTCAAATATGATAAAAAAATTAGGACAAACACGTAACACTAGTATTATAATTTTTTTTAAAGTGCTGGGTTACAAGGTTCATGTGCTAAATATTGACAGACAAAAGATCCAACATAGTCACTGAATCGACATATATTTGACAAAATTTTGTGTGGATGGGTCCCCCAACACACAATTAGAAAATCAAACTCACAGTAGTCAGTACGTAATTTCATGTTTCGTGTGGACATATGTTATTGTCCTCTTATGAAATTTGTGCCTACAAAACCTGTTTCTGTTACTTAAAATGGTAGTTCTTGTTGATATATGCACAGTGTTGCACATGAAAAAGCTCCTTTAGTTCACGGGAAAGTATTCTCAGGTTGTGTTTTGTAGTTTTGTATCTGAAGATTCGAACATTTAATCAATTCTTGTATATGCGTACATAAGAATTAGGGTAGACTTCGTGTGACTTATAGGTTATGGGTTCGAGCCGTCAAAGCAATCATTGATATTTGCATTTGGACATGCTGTCTACATCACATCCCTTTGACGCAATCCTTCCCCTAATCCTGCATATATGAAATACTGTTGTGCCGAATTGCCCTTCTATATACACGTGCATGAACCTTTTGGCATTGCTCCTAATATAGCGGCGGCAAATAGAATCAAATGAATAAACAAATCATGATAATTTATTCAAAATTTGCTTTGATGAAAATGTATGTGTTAAGTTGGCCTTAAATAACGGGTCAACCTAACCCGTCCAACATGCATGATTCAACCTCCTTTTTAAAACTTCATGAGAGCAAAAATGTGAAAGCTAATATATTTTTATTATATTACTAGTTTAAGTTCTGCAAGTCTACTTAATTCAATCTTCAAATTTTATTTTGTATGTTTAAGTTTGGATTGCATTTTTACCAGTTAGGTTACACTATTAATTAGCATGTCATTTTGGGCTTAATATATTGTGTAAAGTCAACAAACAAGTCATAATCCAACTAAAACCCTACTAAAAAATGAGTTGATATTGCCACCTCTATGATGTACCACGCTAAAACCCTAATAAAAACTTACCGGCGCCTAAACTTTACATTAATTCAATAAAAACGTGACAACAAACACATGTCCTCACATACATTATCTATCTATCTATTTATACTATATTAAAAGTACGAAAGCCCTTAGCGAAATGTCGTTTGCCTTTTTTATCCTTTTAAAATAGAGCTCACACTAGACAAAATAGTCATTTAATTATTATCTTAATATTTAGGACTTTAAAAGAAACTAAAATTTGATTATTAGATTTTTCCTTATTGAATTAAATAAGAAACCCCAATATTAAGGACTTTAAAATAGATATTATTTAAGAGAATTAATTAAGAGTATTACGTTTCTTTTCCTTGTATACTCACGTGATTTCCATAGAAATATGTTTACATTGATTCCTCTTATTATGGAACCTATAATTCTAACATTACCTAATTAAATATTTGTTCTAATTATTAAATGTAGTTTTCAATATTACATAAAATCGGTAAAGAGAATAATATTATGCTCGAGTAGGAGAATAGTTTGAAAATAATTTGTATCTTCTATACTATCAAAAAAGCATAAAATCTCAACAAATAATTAAGTCTTTGAATTAATAAAGCAACGGAAAAGTCAATTCAATTTTGTTTTAAAATTATTATGTAAGTAAACTTATTTTTCAAGTTGAGAAAACTCTTAATGTACACAAATTATTTTACACAATAAGAGCAATTGCCGTGAAAGAAATAAGAAAATAGAGAAAAATTTATTATAATATAGTATTAAAAGTTAAATTGCTAAAATGTTAAGTTGAAGCAATAAGGATATAACCCAAGACAAAAAAAAATTACAATAATTACCCTTATCATTTTTCTTTCTTTTTATATTTATTTTAATAAATGTAGCTCCCTATATTTTTCATATCATATTACATCATTTTTTATAATTCAATATTAGCTATTTCATACTTTATATTGTTATTTATCTATAGGTTTCTGGAGCTATAGTTCTATCTCTACGCTCACAAATTTCTAAAAGACCCAAAAATTCAAATTCTTCAATTTATTTTATTATCTTTGAATAATTATTTTAAAGTATTTTTTTGTTATTTGTTTATAGTATTTGGTAATAAAGATAACAATAATTTTCATAAGATATATATTATCTCATAAATCATAATAAGATATATAAAGACTTATGTGGCGTAGGATTTCTTTGTTTAATGAGCTAGCTTAGTGAGATTAACATTCATTATATTTAGAAACTTACATTTTCTTTCTTTGATATTTTTTCAATAACTAAAACACATTATCAAATAATATATATATATAATTTTTAAAAATTATATATTTATTGATATAGGTACACGCACAAAGCGCGTACCCTAATACTAGTACTATATTAAAAGCACGATGGCCCTTAGCGAAATGTCGTTCACCTTTTTTACCCTTTAAGAATTAATTTTGCACTAGACAAAATAGTCATTTAACTCATTTTCCTAATATTTAGGACTTGAAAATTAATTACTATATTTTAAGTATTAAATCATTCCTTATTTAAATTGGGTAGAAAATCCTAAAATTTAGGACTTTAAAATCAATTTAATTTTTACCTTATATTAATCACTTAAAAACAAAAACACCAACGTTTCCTTTCATTAACAAGAGATATATTACCTATTATATATTTTCTTAATTCTACAATATCAGTAAAATACTATTACCGATGAATTAATATTTTTCTAGAATAGATTATTGAAACATAAAACTAACAGTTTTTTTTGTCTCAATTATAAATAAACAAAAACTGTAGTCCTTGGAGTATGTGTCAAGTAGTATAAGAAATAATTTATTGAATAGACAATTAATTATTTCTTAATATTTAACAGTTAAATGAATTAAAATTTTATGCA